AAATTTTAAAAAAAGCATTTTGTAGGTAAAATGTCGTAGATTGTGGAACTTGTATCAAATTTGTCGAGAGAAATTTTTTTAACGAGCTATAGTGTGTCAAAAATACGTAATTTTAAGGAACAAAACAATGTATTCTTTTTTAAAGCACAGAACGAAGAAGATGAATATATCGAAATATATCATTGACAGAGTTTTAAAGTTGAAACTTCAAGCTTTAAAATGCTTTTTTAATTTTGTGTCTACGATTATTTTTCGCCGAGTTTCAGTGGTTTGAAAATAGCCCAATTTTTAGGGTATGAAAAGTGTTCCCTATTTTTTTTTGAGTAGTGTATTATAAGCATAAGATATTTTAGTTATTACATCCTCCCAAGTAAAATACTTGTGAAGAACATAAAATCTATTCTCCTCGTTAATAAATTCATATTACCAAAAAGCAGGTTTTTCTCGTAATACAATGCAACATGACCATGGTGAGTAACAAGAGTACTGAAATACCTTGTGCATATGCTAAAGACGTTAAATATTTAATATATTTGAGACTAATATAATAAAATAATTTATTTCCTACTACATTTAGTTTTTTTTGAAAGAGCGAGACATACATGGAATTATTTAAAAAAATAATTAGATAGGCAGAAGTTAAATGTTGCAACTACTATCTTGTCAACATGAAATCTCTTGGATGTTATTTAAATTAAATTAGGTAAAATCATCATTCTTATTAATATAAATTTACTTTTCAGGTTTGTTTAGCATCGAATCCGGACTCAAAGTTTATGTGTAAAGTACACTGAGAGAAAAATCCGGGCCTAATCTAATCGGAAAATCCGATGAAAGAGTAACAAACAGATATTTCCGATAAACGTGATCGGAAAAAAAACCGTTGAAGACTAATCGGAAATATCCGTTTGTTACTCTTTCATCGGATTTTCCGATTAGAAATATCCGCTGAGGAAATTCCGATTAGAAAATATCCGTTAAGAAAGTTCCGATCGCACGGATGGAAACGGGAACGCACCACCATGCCGTGCACTATGTCCTCCGATCGCACGGATGGAAACGGGAACACACCACCATGCCGTCCACTATGTCCTCCGATCGCACGAATGGAAACGGGAACGCACCACCATGCCGTGCACTATGGGTGCGTTCCGTTTCACGCATGATGCGCATGATGCATCGTTTATCCTTGTTATTCGGCAAATGTTAAAGAAAGATAAATGATGCATTATGCGTATCATGCGTGAAACGGAACACGCCCTATGTCCTCCGATCGCACGTATGGAAACGGGAACGCACCACGATGCCGTGCACTATGTCCTCCGATCGCACGGATGGAAACGGGAACGCACCACGATGCCGTGCACTATGTCCTCCGATCGCACGGATGGAAACGGGAACGCACCACCATGCCGTGTAACTGTCTGCTGTATTTTTGGGTTGTAGGATTTTAAAATAACGTAACAACTTGTGTGACTAACTCATAACCTCCTTCTTTATTCTGCGCTCTGCCACGCGCCTCCTACACAACCTCTCGGCCTCCCGCCTACACAACCTCCCG